TGGAATTTATTCGTGGTCCTGGCAACTGGCCCTTTTTTGGAACACCATTATTTTTGTCTTACTGAGATTTACTGTCAGGGCCCAGGTCTGACAGAATCTGTGCAGAAGATCTAGGTGCTGCTGTAGGCTCTCCTTGGTTGGGGACAGAAGCACCAGATCATCAGCAAACAGTAGACATTTGACTTCAGATTCTAGTAAAGTGAGGCCGGGTGCTGCATACTGTTCTAGTGCCCTTGCCAATTCGTTGATATATATGTTGAAGAGGGTGGGGCTTAAGCTGCATCCCTGTCTCACCCTCCCGGCCCTGTGGAAAGAAATGTGTGTGTTTTTTGCCCATTTTAACCGCACACTTGTTGTTTGTGTACATGGATTTTATAATGTCGTATGTTTTACCCCCAACACCACTTTCCATCAATTTGTATAGCAGGCCCTCATGCCAAATTTAGTCAAAAGCTTTTTTTAAATCAACAAGGCATGAGAAGACTTTGCGTTTGTTTTGGTTTGTTTGTTTGTCAATTAGGGTGTGCAGCGTGAATACGTGGTCTGTCCTATGGTAATTTGGTAAAAAGCCAATTTGATATTTGTGACTCATTTCAGGAAACTGTCGCGGGTCACAACTTCACAGGAAAGCCATTTGAACGTAAACTTTTTTTAAAATTCGAAATGGCTAGTGGGCTGGACATGCCGAGAGAGGAGTTCGGATTGGTCTTTGGAGGGAGCTGAAAGTCCGTATTGCCCAGCGACAGCCCCGAAACCTGAAGGATCTGGAGAAGGTCTGTATGGAGGAGTGGGCCAAAATCACTGCTGCAGTGTGTGCAAACCTGGTCAAGACCTACAGGAAACATATGATCTCTGTAATTGCAAACAAAGGTTTCTGTACCAAATATTAAGTTCTGCTTTTCTGATGTATCAAATACTTATGTCATGCAATAAAATGCAAATTATTACTTAAAAATCATACAATGTGATTTTCTGGATTTTTGTTTTTGTTTTAGATTCCGTCTCTCACAGTTGAAGTGTACCTATGATAAAAATTACAGACCTCTACATGCTTTGTAAGTAGGAAAACCTGAAAAATCGTCAGTGTATCAAATACTTGTTCTCCCCACTGTAGCACACTTCTGTATATTTGAGCTGGTCAGTATGTCTAGGTTATACTGTCTAACACAGCTTTTTTTATGTATTGTGTAGTGGAGCTGCATAAGTATTGCTCTCCACTTTCTGGAGGATCGAGTTTTGAAATCAGTGGAATTAGAGTATGATAGCTAAACAGGTGGAGAAAAGACCTGTCTCCGGATTACATCTTCAAACTAAGGGCAACCATGGCATCCGTGACAGGGAGACTTGTTCATCATGCATGATGTATACGGGTAAAATAGTCTAGCTAGCTACATTTTCAGATATTACACGTTTCTAATTTTGACAGAAAGTGGTTTCATTTCAATTTAAAGTGTACTGTTAGCTAGCTAGCTAACGTTAGCTGGCTGGCTCGCTAGCTAACGTTACATGTACGATCTTATTATTCGTATCCCAGAGCCATTTGCTTGCTAACATTGAACCTGGTTGGTTAGCTACCTGCAGATTCATGCAGGGTACTAACGTACTGAGTTGGGATTATGGTTAATTGTTTAGCTAGCTGGCTCGCTAGCTAACGTTACGTGTATGATCTTTTTATTCGTTTTTGCTTGGCTTGTTAGAGCCTAATGTTAGCTAGCTAACATTGAACCTGGTTAGTTAGCTACCTGCAGATTCATGCAGGGTAGTAATGTCATGAGTTGTGATTATGGTTCATTGTTTACGTAGCTAGCTAGCTACATGTCTTAACAAAAGACTCTACTATGCAAGTAACCATTTCGGGTGCGTTCGTAAATTCAGTCAGAGTATGCCAGAGCGCAGAATAACTGATGAATTTACGAACGCACAACACCCGTTGAATAAATGTCGCCAAAAAAGCATAATTAAATTGTTGCCAGCAGCACAGTTAGTCACCAATGCTCTGGATAACATAAAAACAGCCTATCCATCTCTGCTAGGGTGAGTAAAATGGCTGTTTTCATGTTATCCAGAGGTAAACAATGAACCATCATCCCAATTTTGTGTCTGGATGTAGCTAGCAAGCTAGCCAATGTTAGCCAGTTAGCTTGGGTGCTTGACTGCTGTTGTGAGGTCAGAACGCTCGGATCAACCCTACTCATCGGCCAGAGCATCAAGTGTGCGGTCTGAACGCTCCGAGAGTGAAACGAGATGGGTGGGGCTAAAGCTTAAGAGGGTGTGAATGATGCTGAATGGGTGAAGACAAAAAAGAGCTCTTCAGTAGGTACCAAAACATTCAAAGGCCATTTTCTCAAAAGTAAGATCAACTTTCAAAGCAGAATTCCTTTCCCATTGTTCCCTTAAATGCAGTGTATGATATACCATTTTGTAGCTCTGTGTCTCTGCTTTAATCCAATGTAAAAAACACAACTTCAAATTTTGCTACATAAGACCGAATCAAGGCGGTCGGTCATATTTGCTCAGTACATTGTTTTCGCTGAGGAAATGTACGAGTCTGTTGTTAATGATAATGCAGAGGATTTTCCCAAGGTTGCTGTTGACGCATATCCCACGGTAGTTATTCGGGTCAAATTGGAATTTGTGGTCTGTATATTTTTATCATTTCATTTAGGATACCATCAACCCCACAGGCCTTTTTGGGTTGGAGGGTTTGTATTTTGTCCTGTAGTTCATTCAATGTAATTGGAGAATCCAGTGGGTTCTGGTAGTCTAATAGTTGATTCTAAGATTTTTATTTGATCACGTATATGTTTTTGCTGTTTGTTCTTTGTTATAGGGCCAAAAAGATTGGAGAAGTGGTTTATCCATACATTTCCGTTTTGGATACATAACTCTTTGTGTTGTTGTTTGTTTAGAGTTTTCCAATTTTCCCAGAAGTGGTTAGATTCTATGAATTCTTCAATTACATTGAGCTGATTTCTGACGTGCTGTTCCTTCTTTTTCCATAGTGTATTTCTGTATTGTTTTAGTGATTCACCACAGTGAAGGCATATGCTCTTCTGGGTCTCTATGATTTTGGTTGGATAGGTTTCTCAATTTCTTTCTTATGTTTTTGCATTCTTCGTCAAACTATTTGTCATTGTTGTTAATTTTCTTGATTTGATAGGGAATCTGAGAGGTCAAACATACTGTTTAGGTTTTCTACTGCCAAGTTTACACCTTCACTATTACAGTGATTGAATTTTTGGGTAGATTTCCACACTACTTTCCTTCCCTCTATAGCATTTCTTAATATTACTCTCTCTGAGAGTCAGAAGAAAGAGAGGGAGAGAAAGTGAATGGTGTAACCTTTCCGTCCCCCTGCTGTTGGAAAAGAAAACATTCCCGTCTGCAGCATAGAGGGACCTAGAGAGGACATGGTTACACACACGTGTGCATGTGGCGTCTGTGTGTTTGTCTGTGTGTGTGTTGCTGAGGTGTATAAGGAGTTGGTCTAGTAGAACAGGGTTTCCCAAACTCGGTCCTAGGTCCCCCTCCCCCTGGGTGAAGGTTGGGTTTTTGCCCTAGCACTACACAGCTGATTCAAATAACCAACTCATCATCAAGTTTTGATTATTTGAATCAGCTGTGTAGTGCTAGAGCAAAAAACTAAATGTGCACCCAGGGGGAGGAGCCAGGACCGAGGTTGAGAACCAATGTGCACCCAGGGGGAGGAACCAGGACCGAGGTTGAGAACCCCTGCGCACACAGGGGGAGGAACCAGGACCGAGGTTGAGAAACCCTGTGCACCCAGGGGGAGGAACCAGGACCGAGGTTGAGAACCCCTGTGGTAGAAGAGGGGGTTGTTTTCCCACAAGAGACACTTAACATGAATGAGCTTCCATTGATTTTCTGCTAGTAGAGCCATGTCCCAATGCATGCAGAGATTGGTCAATTCAATGGTTACGGCTCACTGACTCATGAACACACACTCACACACGCAGGTATACACAGACACCTGCATATTCACACATAATTTATACGTATACATTACAAAAAATTACTCAAATGAAAGCATTTATGAACTGACCCAACTCTCTCCTGTTAATGTCACGTAAGCATCGCATAAAAAGCTCTGTGTGTGTGCATGAATTTGTGTACGGTGATTGTGTGTGTATGTATGTATGTGTGTGTGTGTTCAGTGTATGTGTGTGTTCAGTGTACCCAGTAATAAACAGTGGGCTCTGCCTGCTTTACAACCATCCGATAACCTCCAATAACCTCCCATAACCTCCCATAACCTCCCACTAATAGAACTGACACACCTTCTAGCCTGTTTACTATCTATCTCTCTCTACCTCCATCCTTCAGTCTCCCTCTCTCGTCTCTCTATCACTTTCTCTCCTCCTCTAACCCCTCTCTCATTTTATGTCTAGCATACTTCTTCTTCCTCTCTCTCCCCCTATCTTTCTCCATAGTAAAACCAAACTGCTTCAAAATGTTACTCCTGCATGCTCCTGATTCCTCCAATAAAACTGTAGTAAACACCAGAATGGCAATCCATTCACACACACACACACTCCCCTCTGACACGAGTAATGGTGTGTGTGGCCACTGTAATAT